TTTGCGTGGGAACGAACAGAGGATCCAGGTCGTCGATTATCTTGGCTTGTAGCCACGAACGCAGCACTAGACACATCCCGATTATATCGACTTCGAGGCGGCTGCGCAGCGGAGTCACCAATCGACCTGCGGCAGAAAAGAGCCTCTCGCACTCGGCTGACATTGGCTGGATCGTAAGGAAATCAAGAGCCATTCGAGAGAGGCGCGGATATTGAGCTCGGTTATCCTGCCAATATGCGCTGGGGTCTCGAACATCGGTGTCTGTTGGAACCCATTTTTATTGTCACGCCTCGTACTCGCCCCTCGGGGACTCAGGAGTCGCAGAAGACCTCATCCTCGCTTGCGTGGTCGTGGGCGTCGATAACCGGCTTGATGGCTCGTATCGTGACTGTTCGCAGTATTCCTCAAAGGCATTTTGGTACTTCCTTCGCCGTTTAGCAACGGGCTCATTTCCTGGGCTCAATACCACCTCGAGGTTGCGATATTCGGTCTCCCATACCTCCTGAACCATCTCTTTCGCCGTTGCGATCCAATCCGGATGTTTTCCCCAGTGTTCTTCGAACCAACCCCATCGATACGCAGGGTGGAGAGCCAACGCCACGTAATATATTGGTGTCTCGTCGAGAATTATGTAGTATTTGTTGAGCTTCTGCCACCCTAGGTTGATGTTGATCCTGAAGTGTTCGGAATCAGGATAATCCGCCGCGACTGCCTTGTACTCCTCCAGTTTTGCCATTAGGAATTCGAAGCCTTGGATGACATCCCAGATATTTCCGTACGAGCTGACCCACCCTCTCTTCCGTTAGCGTTAAATACCGTCTCCCTCAAGGGTTTTGACAGTGACCTCGTAGAATCCAAGAATCGTGGCGAGATGTTCGAGGACGCCCCAGTCCTTATCTGAAAGCTGGTTTTCGGGTAGGCAAATTCGCGGTTGAACAGCCGACCTCCGCATCAGGCCCGTCCTTTTCGACCTATTGTCCTGCTCCCAAGCTTGTTTGTGTTTAAGAATCATCACATCGAGGTAAGGACGGAGTTTGATCGCGCGGCGGATCATGTAGAGCTAGGACAGCCATCTGGTATCATTATCAACGACGATATTCAGAGGCTTCCTCGCTCGAACTCTCGGATCGATAGATTAGTCCATATCAGCCTGCTGAACACCCCGAAGAAGGTAAGTCAGCACATCAGATCTGTCGATGTCAACAACGAGGTTATGGAGCTTCCCGACTGGTCCTCTCCTCCTCCAAAGATCGTGTTCAGTTTCAGATAACGCTGCTGCGCCGGAAAGCTGATTCTCAAATGCCTCTGGATTGGAGCCAAAAAGCAGTGCTTTGGCAGAGAGGTTAAGTATGTGGCCAAAGCATCGACCTCTGCGCTTGCGTCCATCGAAGCCCAACTCTCCTCCGATTACAGCCATTGCTGAATCGTTGTTTTCGGCGTTGTCAAGCGTGAAATACCCGATCTTATTCTTTATACCATATGAATCGATAATCTCGAGGACTTCTGCTGCAATATTGGTGCCAGAATGGCGAGTAGAGACCTCGGGAACTCCAAGGACGATTTTGCAGGGATTGTTTTTCTCGTCTTGGAAGAAGCACATAATCTCATATAACGCGTGCCGATTTCCGGACCTCCAGCCATCAAAAGAGACGTGAATTAGACCGGGGGAGCTCTGGAGGACCTCCATAACCTTCGTCTTGTGCTGCTCGTATGATGCCACGATTTTCCTGCGAATAGAGGTTGCGGAGAGATTGGCGTCACAGAGCTTTACGCAAGGGTTCAGGTATGCGAAAATCTTCCTGAGCTTGTCGTGTTCTGCCGTTTCGAACGACAGGTTGGCCTCCACGATCCATTCCATTAGAAGTCGTTGGAAAAACTTCTTGTCGAAGTTCTTAATGAAGCCATTCGCAATTGCTTGTTCTCTGGGCTTATTGGTATTAAGCTTCATCAGCTCGGCGATGGTTGACTGTCCCTTGGCCTTCTGGCCCTCTGCTCTTAGCTGCGAGGCTAATTTCGTCTTCCCTTCAGGCGCACAAATCCTGTGATCGTCATAGAGGTGGTTTAGGGTATTCTGGATGCCCGTTGATGTGAAGGTCCTTAGCTTAAGAGTGTTCTTACGGATGCAAATTTTGCAAACCCACTTCCGGTCGTTGCCTTTCTGGATATCGTACCCATACTCCCAGGCCCAGGAATTAGTATCTCTAACCCTTTGAGACCACGTGAAGCCGGGGAAATGGCGCCAAAGAGATTCTTCAAATTGCCGCTCTTTGGTAGTGGAATCTGGCGAGGTGGACTTAGAACGTCATGCTGGCGAGAATGGCGTGAAAGCTGTAGAAGGCGCTGGAGACGACCTAAAATTTCCATCATCGTCAACAGCAGTGATGGCGTCAGAATCTGATAAAATACTCATCCTGAGCTAGTTACGCAATGCAATCGGTGTAACTGTTGAAATCTATGTGGAAGTCAGAAGCAGAATTGAGGGCAGAACAGAAGCTAAAAGGAGGTGGCGGCCAGGGAAATTAGGTGATCTGCCATACGTACAAGCCACACATAGCCTTAGTTAAGGTACCTTACGGGTCGCCGTTAGGATTTATACCAATCCGCAGTTACAGTCACTAATAGTGGCTAGTAGACCCACTTTATATCAACGAAATCAACGAGATCCATCAATTTCAAGGTAATATTGAGTTGGGCAGCTTACTAATAAAGTCCTCCATTGAGTTGGTTGAGTTGGCCGTTGATTACGTTGAGTTGTTTGGGTCTCTGTCTGTACCCCTCCGGCGCTTCTTGTAGTTGCGAGCCCTCCGGACCCGTCGGGCGTGTCTTTCCACACCCAAATCGAGAAGGGCAGTGCAGACTCTCCGGGTGTCTCACTCTCGATATGGAGTTCGAACCAGGTCCCTGACGCGGGTGCTCCGTCCCATTGTCGATCATACCAGGTCAGGGACCTCTCCGTATCAACAGTAACTTTGGACCCATCAATGGACAACCACCCGTTGGCTTTACAAGCAGGGCTACCCCACTCCTTTGCCGTTGTGTTACCGGCTCCTCGGAAAGAGCCAAGGCCACCATTCAACAAGGCAGGTGAAGACAACTCGAAGGTGAGGTCAAACTCAGCTCCGGCAACGCTACTCCATGTTCGTAGCACTGGGGCGCCCTCTGAACCAATGGAGCCGAATCCATAGTCTGGATAGCTTGCCTTGAAGTCTCCAGTGTCCGAGTACACCTCCGACACATTGGAGAAGATCTCAAACCGACCATAGCGGGATGAATCAGTAATATCGAGTAGAGATCCTCGATACAGGGAGGGCGTGATTTTCTGGCCCGTAAGCACATGTGATACGATTAAGTAGTCGTGGTTGTCGGACCCATGGGTGAAGGAAGACGACCAAAATGACAAGCCGATAGGCACGCCAGCCTTGGTTTGAGATTCCAAAAGGTCATATCCAATAGGTAAGGTATCCTATGCGGGACAATGCCAGCCCTTTTAAACACTATTCCTAAAGCCAGGCCCAAATTGCATACCAGTCCATTCAGCAGGAGGCCGCCACTTTCAGGATGGAATACTCTCCACTTGAATCCCAGGGCCAGCGGAAGGAGGCCGAGGGTCACCGTAGATATAGAAGTCCGCATCCTTCAAGACGGAAAGATTGTTGATAAAACGTTGGTTTCAAGAGGGTTTCCTGATGAGATTCCGTGGGTATACAGCCTATGCTCCGACTTTGCCATAGAGGTTCAGTGGAGATACTGAGGGTGTGGTGGCTTCTATATTTTGCGGACTCACTGACATTGAGATTGCCGGTGAGTTGATAACTCCCGAAGCGCCCTTGATATTCCTTCCTTCCGGATCAATTGTCAAAGCACCGAAGCCGCTTAGTAATTCATCTCTTGATGGAGGCGAGCGGTAGATGCACAGCCGGCTGTGCAAATAAGATCACGTGATATATCGCACAGCCGGCTGTGCGAATAAGGTCTTGTCATGGGCATATGTCAAGCTCCGGAGACCTTCACTTACTATTGGAGGAAACTTGTCAAAATCAGGTTGTTGGAATGAGGCCAAAATTAGGCAAGGATCACGATCATCGTGAACAAGTTCACGATGAACGTGAACGACCTCAACTAGCATCAGGCAGCAGCCTGCTGCCTATGAGATCAACAGATTAAACACAAGTATAAGAGACCAACCTTCGTCGCCCCTTAGATATGAAGGGGGGGAGCAATACAATTTACACTGATCTTTGATTTTCAATGTCTGCATTCGTGTCTCAGCGCTAGGTTAACAGCATACGTGGCCTTATTAAAAAGCCTCAACATACTGCAAATTAACCCCCTATTTCAACGACCAATAGCTTCAACATCGCCAATTCAGGTTACCGCGCCCTTCTTCTGCTATAATAAACCCAATTAACGATACACGTTGCTTCCCTGATGATGTCCTTCCTCCTGAGGGCGAATTCGGCTCACGAGAGGAACTGGCTATGGCGATCAACGCCTGGGCAGCGCCACGAGGCTATGCCTTTGCAGTCAAAAGCTCTTAGAAGACCCCCAATGGAAGAACCGGAGTTATCTTTAACTGTGACCGTGGAGCAGGGCGTGCCCCTTCCTCCTCGAAGGCACGGCAACGGCAGACTAGAACACGCCGTACAGGATGCCTCTTCTCTGTCATAGCAAAGGAAAGCCTATATAAGACTACATAGAGTCTCAGGCACCGTCCCGGGGCTAATTTCAATCACCACAGTCACGAACCAAGCCTCACGCAAGTAGCATATCTAATATATCGTCAGCTATTATGCTCAGATGAATCAATAATCCACTAACTCGCTAACACTAGCATTGCGCCAAAGGATATCAAGTCCTATTTATAAATAAACTTAGATATACTTACTACATAGTAAGATATCTATAACTATATTAAACGGGGCAAGCGAGACCTTACTAGGGGTCAAAGTAATATATATGCTCTTACTAATTAGCTTAAGAGCGAGGGCTTCTAGAGCTAAATTCGCATTAATAAGAGCAATAAAGTTATAGTAATATTCTTTATATATCTAAAGTTATTAAGATACCTTAAATTATATCTTAAAGTATTTATATTAGACTATACCTATAAGACTAATAAATATAAAATACCTCTTCTTAATATAATTAATATTAATACTTATTAATAATCTTTCTATATTATATTTATATTCCTTAGCGGCGAGGAAGAGGCTAACTTTATCTAGGCTCTTAGGCAGCTATAGTATCTATACGAGCTTCATAATATAGCCCTTCTAACTATAATACTCATAGATCGCTATCTTGCCTATATAAATACTCTTTCCTCTTTATCCTACTTTCCTAAGTCGCCCTCATTATTATGCTTATAGCATATTAATAAAGTAATTCTTAGCTATTATATACCTGCTTTTACTCGAGATAAAGGCAACCCTTAAGGGCATAAAGAGTAAAAGGCATTCTATAGCTTATAGCATAAGATTATAGCCTTAATGACTAAGGATATCTATAATAAGAGGCTTAAGAAGTTTAAAGAGTATTACCTCCCTAAATATTTTAATAAGATAAGCTATATTTTAGAGACCTAGCTAGATCTCTATAAGGAGAGGTTTATTAAGGCATAGGTCTAATAGCATCTTCACTTCGAGCAATTTATTACCTTACGCGCCGAGGGCATTTATTAGCTCATTAAGAGTTATTTAAAAACCTCTTAAATTAATCTCTTTAAGGCCTAGAGGATCATTAGACTTATTATCTCGAACTAGGTTACTAAACTTAAGGCAAATTAAGTCAAGCAATAGACCACTATACCTATTAAGCTATCTAGGGTGCTATATAGTAATATCCGCGGTTAGATCTCACATAAAGCCCTGCGGAAGGTTAAGGTTTAGCAGAAATAACTCCTAAGAGAGCTTCCTACCTATACCGGAGTCTTTACTAAGACTCTTAGTCTCCCTTATGCTTATATCCTTTAGCCTTTACTAGAGCAAAAATAGCCCCTTTAACTATACTATTTCCATTTATATTAATATCTCCAACGCTTAGGAACCCCCTAGCTTATTATTAAGCCTCATAAGTAATTTAATTAGCTAGCAGCTAATTTAACACTGCCGCTAATAAGCACATAATATAAGCCCTCTTTATTTAAGCTTATTAAGAAAGCAATATAACTAAAAGCACCGCTAAAGTATTTAAGATATCATAAGCATAGCTATAATATAAGGTCTAAAGCATGCCCCTTACGCTATGAGCATCTATTGCCGGCTCCTACCTAAACCTCTACGATAACACATACAATAACGCATATATCTACTCGCTCTATAACCCGCTCGTTATCCCCGTCATCCCCATCAGGGGCCTCTATTATACCATCCACAACCACTCTTTCGCCAACCCCACTCTTTCGCCACGCAAAGAAAAAAAAGCACTACTAAAAATTAATAATTTACTTATAGAGAACTTAGCCAAAATAAGAGATATACGCAAAATTTTTCGTCTCATAATAGTAATTAATTATCTCTATTAGACCCTGGGTCTTTTAATAAGCCGCCTTAACCGCGTAGTTAGTTAATAAGGTATAGTTTCCTCCCTGACTTTAATAACTAACGTAGCCTCTGATTCTAACTCTGGCTCGCCTAAAGAGCTATATTCTACTATAATAGGCATATTTTAAGCCTCCTCTTTAGATATAGCTTCCCTAGTAGCTAAAGTCTTACTAAGGGTTATAAAATATTTATTAGGATTTAATATTACCTTCCTCTTTTTCCCTTTCTTTAGGCGAGCTAATTCCTCCTCTAGGCTAGTAATCCTTATAATATATACCGCTATTATTTATTATTAAGCCTTAAAGCCCTTAGCTATTATATTATAGTATCTTCTTCTCTTTAGTATTTTATTTAGCCTAAGATTACGAATTTAATAGCTTATCTATAGTATATTATCTAAGTTAAAATATAGCCTATGTTACGGCCCAGCACCAGACCAGGCGGTCTAGTAAGGCAGAAAGCTACTATATAATATAAATAATATAAAAATAAGCGGGATTTACTACTATATAAGTAAGTATTTATATATCGCGCTTACCCGCGTTAACCTTAGAATAATAAGTAAGTAAATACTCCTAGATTTACCCCGGTAAATACTCTAAGTATATAAGGTATACTTATTATACTTTCTTATATAATAGCTACCTTAGTTATTAATATAACTTAGTTATACTTAATACCCTTAAGTATATTACTAGATATAATTTATACCTTTATTTAAGATAATATTAATAATCTCGTATTAATATAAACCTAATATAATTAGTTTATCCCTTAGATCTAACTATATTATTATATATTAATAGCTCTTATTTAGAGGATTATTTATATTACCTTAAATAATATTAAATATAATAGCTATTTAAGTAAACCCTATTAATAATAACTAATAGGTCTTACTTATTAATTATTTACCTATTATGCCTATATAAGCTACCCTAATTAATAAAGAAATAAATAAGGTAAATAGCTCTAATAATAAAGAGGTTAAGTAGCTTTAAGCCTAGATTATTATTATAAATACTAAGATAGATAGACTCTGTGAACTTATTAAAAGGATAGATTAGACCTAGTATACTTAGAATATATAATACCTAAATAATATCTAAGACCTTAATAACCTAGCTATTATTATTATAAGGGGTAAGGATATAAGAGAAATCTTAAAGCTAAACCTACTAGAGATATTCGATAGAATTATATATAAGCTATTAACCTTTCTTATATAGCTATATGCTTTTATAACTTATTATCTAACTTAGTTTACCTTAGCGGCTAATAAAGTCTAATATGCTATAGGAAGGCTTAAGGGCTATACTATTATATAGTTTAAACTAATTATTAGGGAGTATTATATAACCCTATTCGCTAGACTCTCGCTATAAACTAGTAATTTTTACTTAAGCTATAAAACTTTTAAGGCTATGCTTTAATAAGCTTTTAGAATAATTAATAAGAAAAGATAAGCTAAGAGGGAAATTAAAACCCTTAGATAAACCTAATTAGCCTTAAAGTATAGAATAAAGTACCTTTAATTTACCTCGAAGCTTAATTAAGATTAAGAACCCTTAATATCTCTTTTTTTTAATAGACTTAAAAAAGAAATATAGGTAGAGCTCTATAAAGAAGATTAATTTAATAACCTTATTAATTAAATTAGTAAGGTAATTAAGATTAATAATTAATAATTCTTATAAAAGAAATTATAAAACCCTAAGTTTAATAGTAATAAAGTAATTACCCCTTGGTTTAATATTAACTAAGGATAATTATAATAAATTAATATATCTTATAAGACCTAGGCTAGACCTATATAACTTAAAATAACCTAATAGGGAATTATAAATATTAAATATTATTATTACTATAAAAAGGGCTATAAAGCTAATAAATATAAAAAGAAATAATAAGATATCTAGGAAGAATATTATTAGCCTTAATAATAACTATAACTTCCCGAAGGTAAGAAATAAGTAAAATTTATATAAATAAATAATAAACCTTAGATAGCTATTTATACTACTAAGACCCTAGGAATAATAAGATAAAGGTATAATAAGACTAGCCTTTACCTAGGAGAAATTACTATGCTATATATATAAGTATACCTTACCTAGAAATAGGTAGAGTATAATATTAATATTAAATAAAGCTATGCTAATAAGCTATATAAGGCTAAGTAACTAAAAAAGCCTAAAATAATAAATCTTATTATACTTATAGTAAGATAGAAATTATTATTAGAATTATCTAAGAAGGAAAGAACCCTAGATAATATAAGAACTATTATAATCATCTAACGCGCTATAGACTAGCCTATTAAATAAGGAATATAAAATCTATTAATAGTATAAGAATAAGCTAACTATAAGGAAGCTACTATAAAAGGATTTAATTATAAGAAGTAGATTATAGAGTATAATAAGAATAAATAATATTAAATACTTACTATAGTTTATTATAGGGACTATTAATAGGACGATCCTATATAATATAACTATACTTTATGTCCCTAATATTAGAGTAAGGTATTATAAGAATATAATAAGATCTATAAATAATAAAAAATAAATTAATATAATAAATTACTATATAATAATTAGATTACTAAGGTAATAAATAATAGCCTAACTTAGATATAAATTATAAATAATACTAAAGACCCCTAGGGGGATTAATAAAAAGAACTTATATAAATAGAGAAAAGAATATAAAAAACTAATAAGGAATTATAGAAGGAAAACCCTTACCTATAATTATATAATAAAGATAATAACCGATATTAGAATAATATATAGGAATAATATATCTAGATAGTATAAGAGTATATAAATACCTCTAATAAATAGAAAGTCTATATTCGCGCTTACTATAAGGAATTAGTAGAAAACCCTTAATACCTAGAAGTACCTTTTAACTTATAAGATAATATATAAATATACCTAATATACTAAAAATACGCTAATATCTTATAGATATTATATTAATAGCACTAGTGCGAGACCTACCGGAGAGAGAAGTAAGAATAAGATTATTTCCCTATTATATTATTATATTAACTTAATAATAAGCTATATCTATAATATAAAATAGAAGGCTATTAAGTCTTCTATTAATATAACTTTATTAGTATAGCCTATGCATAATATAATAATAAACTCTATTATACTATCTAAGAGAAGAAATAAATTACCTATAAGATTAAAGATTAATAGAGATAAATTAGCTAAGAAG